TGGAACTTGCAAAAGAACGGCCGTGTCTGGCACTGTTTTGTCAAGATATGCCTATAGGATGCTATTCAGTTGCCAAGCTGGGCTTTAACACCGCAACAAAGCATGTTGTGATTAGGCCGCATGCCACTTTATGCAACAGTGCTTTTCGTGGCTTTTCTGACTAGAATAGGCTAGACTTGTCGTAATAGGAGAAGTTGGTGGCAACCCCTTCTAACAACTCAAAACTTTCAATGTCGTCAACAGACTCATCATCAACAAGCCACAACTGTCCCGGCCTTTGTTATGTTTGTTTCTCTTGGTATTCGTAGTTCCTCCAGAACCAGTACCTCAAGGAATAGGTCACCCATCTTCAACCCACCCAGGTTAACCAACCCTTCAGGTTCAGGAGCCTCGCTATTGACCAATCCAGCCATCATGCAACCAATTTGGCTGATCGGCGGGGCGTGGTCTGGGAAGAAGTAAAACATGTAGCCATTTTCAATCTTACACTATTTTCATCTATTCTCTCCAAAATCCACTTCTGGATCTTCTGGCCTTGTGCAAAAATGACAGTTTGGAGGTAGTTATGGGTCATATAGTGCGGGATCCCTGGTCTAACCTTGGCTGAAACTGCCTGTGGCATTTTGTTGTTGAAATGTGCAGTGAGTCCCGCCCCCCTTGATGTGGCCAAAAGGCTACGGCATGCGGAAAAGTCTCTACTGCTGGTCAACCATCTGCACAACAGTTAAACAACTGGTTCTCTATGGCCATGCCATGCCTATGCCGTCATTGCGGTGCCACTTCTACCCTTGGGTCCTGGGCATCCTCTGAGGCAATGAGATCAATCGCCTAGTCCACACTGCCGCAGCGTTGCAAGGCGCTGTGCGCTGCATCCTCCGCGTAGCCCATGTCCAGCATCATCTGCCTTAGCTGCCCCCCGCAAGATTTTGCCCACCAGGCCCACTTCACCCTTGACCTCAGCACGCAAACCCGACAGCACCCGCTGAGACCAGCTGCAAATTCTGATCCTTCTTGGACTCAGCCTTTTTGCTCAGGATCTCCACTGCCCTTCCCAAGTCACCCTGCATGCATCCACATCCGATGCCACACAGGCGACTGCGGTGTTCTGATCAGCCGCTACAGCCGCTACAGCCGCTACAGCCGCCGCTACGATGCAGAGTAATGCGAGGCGAAGAATGGCTCGAAAATGGTTTGAAAACGCCACCAAATTGAGCTGCCAGGAGGGCTGGAGCCAAAAAGAATCAAAGGAGTCAAAAGGATCCTTCAAGGATCCAGGAATCAGTGGAAACGTCACATCTTTATGTGGCAAGCACCACATTTGTGTCATGAAAAGCGTTGGCACAGACAAACGATGTCGCTTCATGTGAAGGCGATTGGTTTCCCGTTCTTTTTCGTCTGCGTTGATGTCGCTCCACTGATTCAGCTGACCACCAGGAATCAACTTATAACCCGTTGATTCCCAGTTGATTCTTCATCACTGGATGGCATAAATATGTTGATGATTTGTAAATACATAAATCCAGATCGAAAGACTTCTGCTTTCTCAGCCTTGTCGCTAACGACCACCTCAATGTGCTGAATTTCTGGTGATTTTGGAGTTGCGAAATCTCCGAAACTGCCTGAAAAGTACTCCATGATCTAGGCAACCAGGTGGGACAACGCTGTCCAAACTGGAAGCTCCAAAAATCGCACAAGACAAATGTTCCTTTATCTTTTTTTGGACTTCCTCGTTGATATACCATGTTGCTTTGACATGTTTATACATGTTTCAACAATTTCAGTCAACTAGGAGAAAAGGATCCCATAAGAAAATGTTTCGGAGGCCTTTTTGCTAAAATCTGCAAGAATGTTTACACAAATAACTAAAGCACCGCGTAGTTTGCTCAATGCGCAGCCTCCCACAGACTAGCGCTAAGCTTCTGAGATCTTCTGAGCTTGGCGCTTGGTGCTTTACGCAGGACTAGCGCATCATGGCACGCAATGGTCCTATGACGCCGTATGAGTCATATGAGTCATATGAGTCATATGCATTGCATTTTGTGCAATTTCTCGGAACATCGCCCTGTCTTGGTGCCATCGACAGCTCATAGCTGCCATAACGCCGACAAGACATGCTTGGTCTGACCAATCTCATTATGTCTGGTTTACGAGCACACCTGCTGTGCATCACACTGGCATACACTGGCAGCAAAAATTGGAGATCGAACTTGACAATGGATGTTGCCGCCGCGTTGCCACCTCGGATCTCGGACCTCGGACCTCGGATCTCGGACCTCGAACCTCGGACCTCGGACCTCGGACCTCGGATCTCGGACCTCGGGTCTCGGACCTCGAACCTCGGACCTCGGACCTCGGACCTCGCACCTCGGACCTCGGTTGGACCTCGAACCTCTGACCTCGGACCTTGGACCTCGGACCTCGAACCTCGGACCTCGAACCTCGACCTCGGACCTCGGACCTCGGGTCTTGGGTCTCGGATCTCGGACCTCGAACCTCGGACCTCGGAATCCGAACCTCGGACCTCGGACCTCGAACCTCGGACCTCGGACCTAGGACCTCGAACCTAAGGGACAATCTGGTGAAACCAACTATTTTTCTGAGCAAACCAACTTTTTTTCCAAGAGGTCTCTGTGGTTTTCCTTCCTTGCGTGGATGTTGAGCCTGTTGGTTTACATGGGTCTATGTTGTGTCTCAGTTGGATCTTCCTTGCCAAGATGTTGTCCATACCTCGCCTCCATGTTGGGTCTATGTTGGATCTGCCACCATGACCCTGGGTCTTGGTTGGGTCTATATCTATGTTGGATCTGCTATGTTGGGCCTATATGTTGGTCTATGTTGGATCTGCTGAGATGTCCACAAATGTGTAGCAAAGCTAGCGTTGGGGCCATTGGCTTTATGTTGGACGTATCCCATGTTGGACATATTTTCCTTTTTTTTGTCCGCCTAAAGGGCCTAAACCGGGCGAAGGCAAACTCCCGTATTTTTTGAATTTGGTGATCTTGGTTACATTAACAATGTTGGCTTTTACTGCAAACCACCACAGGTAAAGTTTCGGTGCATTTGCTATCCGTCAAAATAACCAGGACCCTAAGGCGCTGCCAAAGTGCCCCTGACGCTGCAAGGGTGTCATGAACTATTAATTAACCATGATTCATTTCATCATGGGTAATAACCATGAACGATTAACCATGATTCATCTCATCAAGCGTATATCTTCATTGAACCAGCAATCAGTATGCAATTCCCTGCATCATTCTCTAACATTTTCACAGTTTACCGTACTATCAATCAACATCATCATGCATGACAGTACGGTTAACTGTGAAAATGTTAGAATATGATGCGGGGAATTGCATACTGATTGCTGATTCAATAAAGATATATGCTTTCTGAGATGAATCATGGTTAATAGTTCATGGTTATTACCCGTGATGAAATGAATCATGGTTAATAGTTCATGACACTCTTGTAGCGCCAGAGGCACTTTATTTTGACGGATAGCAAATGCACTGAAACTTTGCCTGTGATGGTTGGCAGTAAAAACCAACATTGTTAAAGGAACCAAGATCACCAAATTCAAAAAAAACGGGAGTCCGCCTTCCCTGGGTTTTGGCCCTTTAGGCGGACTCCTGGAAAGCAAAAAACAGGAAAATATGTCCAACATGGGATACGTCCAACATAAAGCCAATGGCCCCAACGCTAGCTTTGCTACACATTTGTGGACATCTCAGCAGATCCAACATAGACCAACATATAGGCCCAACATAGCAGATCCAACATAGACATAGACCCAACCAAGACCCAGGGTCATGGTGGCAGATCCAACATAGACCGAGCATGGAGGCGAGGTATGGACAACATCTTGGCAAGGAAGATCCAACTGAGACACAACATAGACCCATGTAAACCAACAGGCTCAACATCCACGCAAGGAAGGAGAAACACAGAAACCTCTTGGAAAAAAAGTTGGTTTGCTCAGAAAAATAGTTGGTTTCACCAGATTGTCCCTTACCTCGGACCTCGGACCTCGGACCTCGAACCTCGGACCTCGAACCTCGGACCTCGGACCTCGGACCTCGAACCTCTGACCTCGGACCTCGGACCTCGCACCTCGGACCTCGGACCTCGGACCTCGGACCTCGGACCTCGGACCTCGAACCTCGGACCTCGGACCTCGGACCTCGGACCTCGGACCTCGGACCTCGAACCTCGAACCTCGGACCTCGGACCTCGGACCTCGAACCTCGGACCTCGGACCTCGGACCTCGCACCTCGGACCTCGGACCTCGGACCTCGGACCTCGGACCTCGAACCTCGGACCTCGGACCTCGGACCTCGGACCTCGAACCTCGGAGCTCGGACCTCGGACCTCGCACCTCGGACCTCGGACCTCGGACCTCGGACCTCGGACCTCGGACCTCGGACCTCGGACCTCGAACCTCGGACCTCGGACCTCGGACCTCGGACCTCGGACCTCGGACCTCGGACCTCGGACCTCGAACCTCGGACCTCGGACCTCGGACCTCGGACCTCGAACCTCGGACCTCGGACCTCGGACCTCGAACCTCGGACCTCGACCTCGGACCTCGGGTCGGGCTCGTTGCCAAGTGCGTTCTGGAGAATTTTGACGCAGTGCCATTCTCAATCCTCACATTGTCACGATCTTCAGCGTGGGTCCAACGGCTTCAGCTGGCCGCCATCTTCATCATGGCTGAGCCTCAGAGAGCCCAGGCAGAGCACCTCAGGTTTTCTAGACATTGGCAAGCTCTCAAAGCCAAGCGGCATACGGCCGTGACGATGACACCAAGGGTAACCATCATTGACATCTGTCCAATCTCTGTCTTGTTCCATTGCTCCTGATTCGAAATCCTCAGTATGAGAGTTGCACCATTGTGACAAATTGTGACGCATGGGGAAACAGAGCCGTCTTCAAATTGAGACCAATGATCGTTCTTCCTCTCTCAAAGAAAGCGTTGAAATTTCACCCTCCTCCAAGCATCACTGCAGAAGCCACCGCGATCGCAACGCAGTTGTCATCAGCAGCGCCAATTCCTGAAGTAAATAGATGCAAGGGGTGCAAAAGCTGCAGTAGACATTTCATAACATTTCACGTCCATGTTTGAGCAGGTTGAAAACCGAAAATGCATAACATGCAGTTTGTATCATTTTGTCTTGTCTTATTTCTCTTGCCTCTTACATCGGCTTTGGGGTGGGGAATACCGTGTTGCCCAGCTGACCGACCTGGTCTGATGACATGTTGCCGGAAATCACCTGGTGGATCCTTGTGAATTGATGTGAGTGTTGGACCAGACTTTGTAATCTATAAAAACTTACTGCAGAATGGTAAGACTCCGGTGCAAAGGAATTAGAAACTATGTTTATCCAGTCTATCCTTGCATCATGGTACGAAGGGAAACTAACTTGCTCGCTCATGCCTTGTTAGTCAAATCTGGCAACTAGCTACCCCAAATCTCATGCATCACCGGAACAAAATGTGTGGTGCCTTTGAAAACAAGGCATTTTTTCAGAAGACCAAAGCTGTCAAACCGTTGGAAAATCACATGTGAAAGAAGGTCTTGTGAAATTGCTAGAATAATTGCGAGAGAAAAAAAATAATTGCGAAAGGCTGTGTGTTGGTCGAAAAAGACATTCGTTGCTCAAGATTCCTTGGATTGCGGAAGGCCTCAGGCTTTGATTTATGGAATGAATTGATGGACTGGATTTCTCAAAATCCAAACACTAGAATGGTGGTACCCAAACCAGCACTATACAATACTATACATCCATTTCAAGGATCCATGCGAAGATCGTCACTGTCCAAAACTTTTTTTTTGGTGGTTAGCATCCCTTAATATCCCTTATTTTGGTGGTTGGCATCCAATATGACATGAGGGAAAACAGGTCTTCAACCCATTGGGAATCTGAAGGCATCCAGTATGACATGAAGGACAAATACCGTCATTATATAGTTTGGACTTCTTCGTATCTAACCAAAACTCCAGCTTCGCACCCAACTATTGCGATTCGCAATGAAATGTGCTCATTCGTTATTGGACCGTACACAGCATGTAAATGTAAAAGCCGAAAATGCCAAGAATTGACCTGCAAGAATGAGTAGAACTAAAATAACTCGATTAGAACTTCTTCTTCTTCTTCTTCTTCTTCTGTGAGCTCCGAAGTCTAGGTTAGACTGCGCTCGGCGTGAAACTGAATTCTATGCAAACAGACCTGCCATGACCTGCCGCAACTGGCCAAACAACCATCAAAATAGTAGACAAAAAACCGCAAACAAGGGATTGGCTGGTCTGCATGCCACTGGCTAGCTACGGGATGTTACGGGTATTCTCATGCTCAGGAACTTGCAACTTCTGCAGCCTTTTGGGCTGCATCCAGATCTGAAATGAACGCCATCAGAGTTTCAGGCACGTCTCGACTTGGTCGGCCATGGGACCAGTGACGTTCAACATTGTTCAGAAATGAAACAGCAAGTCCACAGCTCATGTTGGAAACATATTCGTCTTGTCCTGATGGTTGAAGCGATGAATGTCGTGCACTTTGGGCAAAGGAGCACATGTCAGCTTGGAACCTGGGCATCCACACAACCAAGAGGTGAGCGGCACTATGCTGACTGGATGCACTAAAACCTGCTGCACACTGGGGTGCCTAAGAAGCCACTGCACCGGCCATGTTGTCCATATGCTTGGCAGATCAGGAGTGTTTGGCACACTTGCGTGCTCCAAGACAAATCGAACCCCTGCAAACAGGCAAGCTAGCGCCAACAACAGCGCGGCAAACAGCAAAGCGTTGGTCATATCGACCTGTCGCAGCTCAGCAGTCGTCAGACCATCAATGCACCACGGCGCATCAGCATGACGCGCCACTCTTGAGCCAGGAGAATTGCCTATGTCTGTGGAAATCCTTGCGCTGCTTGCAATCCATGTCTCACCTGGAGGAGTCAGCAAGACCCCAGCCAAGGACCCCAAAAGCACGTGTTCCCAAATTTGCTGAACTTCTTGTCATCCAGAATGCATTGAATGCCAACCCAGCAGGATTTTTGACATCGAAGCAACTGTAAATTGGACATTTGAGGGTTTGAGTCACGAAGGGCTTCGTGTGCCTTTCCCCCAACTATAAATCTTACATCGAAAGCGATTGGGATTCTCAAAGGTGATGGATACAATGTATACAAAGTCTGTTGTGATTAAAAGTGTGTACTGCCTCTCAGCTTTCCCCACTCTTTGAGCAAAGCTTCGCTCCAATTCCAAAGTTGTTGGCGATATGGGTGGAAGATGCAACACAAACACATGGACACACCAGTGATGGTCAGCGACGTCATCTGCGCTGGGAAGGTAGTACTTGGATAAAATGCAGCCGCCGTGGCAAGAAGCACTTTCCTGGCAAAGCTTTGTTGTGCAGCCTGACTCGTTTTGCTCAAGCCTCTATGACGAAAAGTGCTAAGCAATATATGACAATATCGTGTCCTGATTGTACATCTTTGTATGCAGCCAGGCAAAGTGATCTGCTATCATCATTTTCTTTCAAACAAATATGGGTGTGTCTGAAAATAGTGTACCCCTAAACCCAATGGTTAATGATCATTATCCCTATTAAATGGCTATAATTGGGAATATACCCTATTTTCAGACAAACCCATATATGGAATACAGTAATTATACAATGTGTTGTATGCAAAGCATTTGTTCAGCAATACGGGTTGCCACTACAGTGAAGCTCGTGCAAATCTCCGAAAGAATTGTTTTTCAAGAAACCGGTTCAAAATGATTCAAACGAAAAAATGAAGACTTGACAGAAAGTATTTCACCTGTGACTTCAAGTGATTGATCGTGCACGAATTGCACGGCCGCCAACGTCACTCCATGCCTGATCAAGCGCTCGGCTTCCAGGTAGCGCCCCTGGCAAGTTTCATACAGAACCAATGCGCCAACTGTGGCGCTAAAACCTGCACATCATGAGAAATCTTGTAAAACTGAATGGCTACTCTCATCTCTCATCTCTGTCCCAGGTGCAGCGCATTTTGTGAAACGAGGATTTCTCAGGAAATCGTCATGGTGCTGAAGCCAAAAAGGCGATGTGGCACTCACTTGTTGCGAAAGCATTCGCGGCCAACCGATACAGGCAATCACATGCAATCTCGCGCAAAAAAGCAGCCGAACAAGATGGGCAGGCAAAACTGATACTAGGCATGTGATCAATGGTACCATGCGTTGTTCTATCAGGGATGCGTGTTGTTCGCCTCGTTCTAAGTTGAATTGACTCCTCCTGATGCGATACCGGCAATACCGCCAAAACGTACTCTATCGTACTCTCCATGGCCAAATCTTTTTCCTCTGCATCACTTCATGTCTCTGCATCATCTCTTTGCAGGTTATACCTGCCCCACTATTCCGGTGATTCATTCTGGATGCGATGACCCGTCAGCTGGCCGCCGTTCATGCCATACTTCCATGGCGATTTTGACCATGAAGACAGAACCTCAGGGAACCGTGGCTTGCTCAGGCCTGGAAAAGAACAAGAGGTGCTTTGGAAGGAAAACACTGGCGGATGCTCCTTTGAATCCAAGCTGCATACAGCGGTGACAATGGCACCCAGGGTGACTATCATTGACATCTGTCCAATCTCTGTCTTGTCCCATTGCTCCTCATTCGAAATCCTGAGGCAATTTCAGTGGAAAGTAATCGCGCCATGGTGAAGGCTGGGGCAGGGAAGAAAGCCTCCTACCATGTCCTACCATTTCTCTATCAAGGCGCAGGCCGCACCAAATTCAACCAACGGATTGCAGCAAAGGAAATTTTGGGAACAGCCAAAATGAACCAAAGGTTTCATCAAATTGACCGCAACAAATTGTGCCCCACTTGCAAAAGCTCAAAGTGTCCGTGCAACTTTCTCCGAGCGGCACTGCGGAAGCCATGGCAATCAAAAGCTGAGCAGTGGCAAGCAGCCCCAGTTCCTGAAGCAAGTTGCAGATCCAAGGTGTGCAATGTGTGCAAGTAGCAACGGTGGCAACGGGTGGCAATGTTTGACTCGACCTTAGCCATCCTTGGCCCACATGGTTAAGGATTTCAATCTGACACCAGGCTTCGCTCCAATTCCAGATTTGTTGGCGATATGGATGGAAGATGCCATACAAACACATGGACGCGCAGGTGATGACCGTCAGCCCGGTCATCTGCAGCGCTGGGAAGGTTGTGCTCGGATAAAATGCAGCTGCCGTGGCGAGAAGCACTTTCCTGGCAAAGCTTCGTACAATCTTTTACATAAACCGTCAAACTCGTCAGGCTACCAGGATTGTGCGTTTGGACAAGCTGCTGCAAAATGCAAAAAAAAAGGTTCGATTATGAGCCAGCCAGCCAGCATGAAAAATGGATTTCCTACAGGCCATGTTTCCTGCGACCTGTTAGAGAGGGCAATCCCTGCGTTTCTTCTAAAAACTGGGTCAAATTTCAAACATGAAATACAAAAACTTCGCAGATTTCCTGATACCAGGGCTCATGTTCTGAATTGTTTTGTTGTCAAAGCTGTTTCAAATCGGCAATCAAAATAAATAATAATTGCTGTCCTAACCAGTCGCTCGGCTTCAAAGTACCGCCGCCCCTGGCAAGCAAGAATGAGCACGCCCTTGGCCCTTCGAAAAACGCACCTATAAAATTCTTCTGGAGACCCAAAAAGACTAGACTTCCGTATTGTTCCTTGTGACTCTGTCCCGCAGCTGAATATCTTCACGACAAATACAATTCATTTGACCGTATTCGACCATATTTGATGTGCCATACATTGCCATACTGTGCCATTGTTCACACGTCTGCACATTTCCCTGCCATTTCTGCACATGTCGTGTTCATGTCATGTTCATGTCGTGTTCATGTCGTGTTTTCGTCATTTTTGTTTCGCCTCTCCATATTTGTTGGTCAGGAACGCCACGTGGGGAAGCTCGTGAAGTTTGTCCTCCTTAACCTTGGCTCAGCGTGACCACCCACACGAGCTGATTTTCGCGTTGCAAGATGTTGGAAAAACGCATCGGCGCATCGGACGCTGTCGATTTTGCCAAACCCAACTCATGTCCACTTTCATATCATGTCATATACTTTCATTAGAAAAACACATATTATATTCTTTCATGATTCTTTCATGATTCTTTCATGATTCTTTCATGATTCTTTCATGATTCTTTCATGATTCTTTCATGATTCTTTCATGATTCTTTCATGATTCTTTCATGATTCTTCATGATTCTTTCATGATTCTTTCATCCTTTAAACTCGCAAATTGAAATCTTCCAAGACGCTGAAGTCGAGAGCAGGATCCACACAAGCCTCAAAATCCAGAGGATTCCAGAGGTTTGTGGTGAAAAGCTCTCATCGTGGCTTTGTTCTGTATGCCTACAGTTTCCGGAGAAAGCGACAGAGCTGCAATGGGATTCGAATCAACTTGGCCTTGTTGGATCCTTTTTGTTTACATTCACTGCAAAATTTATCTAGGTTCAAGATAGGTGTGATTATGGATACTGAAAACCAGGTACGATATATCATGGTACGATAGGTACGGTGGTACGGTACGATGGTACCATGGTACGGTATATGTATGGTACGATGGTACGATGGTAGAATAATACTGGTACAATTTGACATAGTAGAGTCATGTGATATGTGGTATAATATGTTGTATTATTGATTATTATTGATACAATGGCAATATATAATTCGATCTTTGATATGATATATAAACATAAACTTATATAATAAATATAGATATAGATATGAACCAGTGTACAAGTGTACTGTAAATCTGTATATAACGTAGTTTGAACTAGCGTTTTGTTATACTTGCCACCCACAAGATAGTCATATATAACACATCGGTCATATCACATATTGTATCGAATCTTATATGCTATGGTGTTTTAAGTGTTGTGTATTGTTTGTTTTCATCCAGACAACAAAACAATACTGTAAAAAAATGTTCCAGTATCGCGTATGAGACCGGACAAACCCTGTCGCTGTCGCACGTCCGTGTGTGCTCGTCATCTGTACGCGCTCATCACGCGTATCTGTCGACCGTCAATCAACTACTATATCAGCACCTTCATCATCTTCATCAATCATCAACATTGGCGGGTTTCAACCTGCTTCCAGGACGGAGCATTTTTTTTAACCCCCAGTGACTGTATCACTGCCAATGTCGTGACAGGGCATGCGGCGTTGTGCCTCCAAATGCCACTCGCAATTCACAGAGTCTGAATCATCATCTGGTGAAAAGGCTGTTGGAAGTTAAAATATGTTAGCTATAGTTATATAGTCATAGTCATAGTCATAGTCTATACAGTCGTGATAATCAGCTTATATAAGATCTAAACTATGTTGACTCCTCTGCTGGATCTTCTGTGAAGTGAAAACACTCTCTACAGTGCAGCTCTAAAAGCTACGTGTCGATTCCATTCCATTCAGGAAAGAACTACCATACGAAAAAAGGTAGTTGAGTTGACTTTTCTCATCTCAACGAAGTCTGTTCAGACATTGCTGGATCGCATCCATGGCCAAGTCATCCGAAGTCGATGGATAATCTAAAGAGCATATCATTGAGATCTGCAGCGCAATCATAATCGTCGAAGGAAACCTAGGAATGCCCAGAGATTGGTTGAAGATCATGCATAGCAATGGCTGCATGGCTGAATATTTTACATGGATTTGAATAAACTTTGGAAATATAAATCACAAGTCCCAAATTCAATGGTGTCACAGTTTTTTTTTCAGAATCACCAAGTAGCTAGTAAACAAATAAAACAAGATTCATCCTTGTAAATGAAAAAAGAATTCATCCCCCTAAATTGCCAAATGATATGATGCTGCTATAGTTGGAGTCATTGTTGTTCTGGTTGCGGTATGTTTAGAATAATATGACCAGGACCAAAAGTCAGCGTGTCAACAGGCTATCAATGGGTAATAACTGGTATGTTTCAGATTGTTCCGATGTGTGTGAGTCTATGTCTAGAATCATTCTTGTCTTTTTGTTCCTCTGAAAATTGTTCCTCTGAAAATCATTGATCATAATGATAAGAATTGTATTAGTATTTCTCATTGATGATGTCCACTGATAACACCCACAACACAATGGTAGATTAGTCATGTAAACCAAATAACAATATAAATCAATATGATAATAATAAAATAATAATATTATATAACCGCTCGATGTCAACCGCCCACATCTACTGACAAGGTGCGCATTGCCGGCCAAATCCTGGTTCTGGTTGTTGGTCAGGATGTCCGGTGATTCGAATTGGATACCTTGTAGCGCAAGCTGTTCCATGCCAAGTAAAAGCCGGCCACGCTTGCAATCCCACACCGTTCCCGACGGCAGGATCGTTGGTACAACCTGCATTGGTTTCCCGGCATCACAACGTCACAATTAACCTCACTGATGATTGTTTCAACTTCAACTTGAACATCAATTGTCAATGAATTTGATGATGGATTATTTTTTACTAATTACTAATCTCAAATCCGAGTATGGTGCAGTGATGATTCTAATTCTAATGATTTATGAATACAGTAAGTCTATCAGTAAACATAATTAGTACAACGCATACATATCATATCATCATATCATATCATGTCATATCAAGTAATTGTTATATGATTATACCTGGATAATAGTGACCGTCAATGTGTCAAGTTGTCAAGTGTCGAGTCACGTCATGTGAAGACATCGGAGTCCTATTGGCGCTGTGGTACAAGTCAGCAAAGCGCACCAACGGTTCATCTGTGGAGCTGTTGTCCTTGTTCTTGTTCATCACAAATATCACGACCTGGGGTAACATAACATGACAAAAAAATAACTGCATTCGAATTCGAATCATGATTCAGAAAGCAAAGAGATCAACAATGCATACATATGAATACATACAGCGTACAACATGTAACATGTATAATGTAATCATGTATATTATATTTTCGTGTTATAATATCAAAATTCAATCATTGCAAAACTGTGATCTCTGGATTTTTGGTATAGTGTAAAATATATGCTGCAAATTTTATAATCATATCAAATCAGCCTCACGTTCACGAAGCGGGAGGGTATTGAACCATTCGTTTTTCTCGAGATCGTCCGGAGTTTGCAACGGCCAATTGACGCCACCTCAGATGGTGATGATTTTGACAATGACGTGTATGCTGTATGTTCCAAACTCCGAAATAATCGCCGACTTCCACTTCTGATCAAAAAAACGGAAATATCGCAATTAGTAAACATAATGGCATATATGACTCGACTCGACTCATATATGAAATTATCGGTAGTGTATCTCATGTAGTGCTGTCATCGTAGTATGAGATTCATTGACTAGTGATCAGTTGTATCTGAAACTAAGTCTATGACTGGCATTTGCCATTGCCATATGTGTTTCTTTCCACTTCCCACCACGTAATGAATTGTCCAAGTCAAAATCTTGATCATCCTGAACATCACCGGATTGTCGCTTCGAACGATCGTGTCGCACTTTCTGACGCCTGCGGAGTTCGTCTTGCACAAACTCGTCTGTGTCACGAAGCAGAAAGTCATCCTTGGCATGAAGAACCAACAAATTAAATGAAATGTCTTATGATGCAATTTGATGAAATGATGATACGACTTGATTCGAAATTAACAGCTGATGAAAAGTTGATTGTGTAATAGTTGTGTTGTAATTTATACTGGCCCAGTGCGGTGTGTAGTTCATCATTTAGCAACATATGTTGTGGTTGGCTCTAATTTTTTTGATTCGTCTTTATAACATGATGTACCATCAACCAACAGACATGTTACCACCTGTAACGGAGTCGTCTTGAACTTGGGAAGATATGTACCAAGCGCGGTGTCCAACACATCCGAAGGGGGATTATGAAGCTCTGCAGCTGCACGTGATGTACTCACCCCCAAGATGAACAGTCGTGTCCGTCGCTGTGGCAACCCGAAATCTGTGGCTGTCAGCAGGATCATGCCTCAGTCGCAGCCCGTGATGTCATAGTCATATCCAGTTTTAGTTTACTAGCTCATGATGAAGCACACTTAAATGTGATTTATATATATACATTCATATTATTATAAAAATATAGTTATAACAATATATATTTATAAATGGAATGTATATAATCTAGTAAGACTCAAGTACATAAAGAACAATGAATTAGGTAAGTAAGTAGATTGATAAAAAAAAAAACAAACAATGAATGAAGTTTAATAAAGCCTAATTTTAGAGAATTGAAACTGATGGATAATTACATCGCAGGCTGATGTCGATAAATCAAAACAATAATCACATATCGGCATATATTGTAACACCACTATTATTTTTTTGTTGCGATAAACAAATAGGTTGATAAAAAACTGCTCCACAACATTACCATTGTGTTACTTCCATTACCATATCTAGACTTAGACTAGTGACGTGTCTCATACCCTGCTTCTGCCATCACCTTCTGAATGACTGCACCATTGCTGTCGTCCTCTGTGGCATCACCTACATCAACATTCTCCATCACAAACCACAATGGTTTGGTATGCTTGATGGTCTGCATAGTGCCATCGAAAGTTCGATAGGAGCTAGAGTCCTGGAAGCCAATGGTCATGAATGAGACTAAGACCATATGTTATGACGATCTATTCTTGACTTGTAACCAGTGTATTTCAATGTGTAGCAGTACCAAATCAATACGATGTAAAGTGATCGGATACCGCAATAAAATTTCGGATCTAGTTTCTGAATCGAAAGGATGTTTGCTTGTAATGAACGAATCATACTATGATGTAACACTGTTGACTTTTGTGTAATGTAAATATTTTGATTTTAGGCTTAAGATATGAAAAAATAGGACAATGGTTGTATCTTTTGCAAAATGCATAATGTATAATGTATATGGCATATGGTATCTTGGCCGTCAATGGTTATATTTGTTAACATACCACATACAAAATAACTTGGTTGTTTGTCAAAAAACACAATGAATAATCAATATATTATAATATATCATCAATGATCAATATCAATCACTAGAACCAATTTGTCAAGTGTCAAAATTGTTGATTCCCGGCAAAGAAAAGATCAATACTAAATGAAGCCCTGATTTTTCTCAGCCATCGCTTTCTTGAAGCTTGCACCCTCATTCTGCAGTTTAGACATTGATTTGCATGAAAAGCCGCTGCCCAAGCAAAAGAGATGCAACGGCAAATCCTTAGCTCTCTGGTATCATTGACTCATACTGACTCAGTAAAAACAAATCACCTATCACTAAGACTATAACCATGTCATCTGCATCAAACAACTGGAAAAATATTAATCTTACTGACTCTTACTTTACTTAATCACTACTGCTTATAAGCAAATGATATCATTCCCTCCGCTCATTGTTTGTCGCCATTACATAACAATGTTGCAGCTTCGTAACACATGCTTTCTCATGTGCAACGCAATGTCGCTCGGTGTTGTTGTCCAAACATGTGACATCTTGGAACAAACATGTGGAGCGATCCAGAACCTGCTTGATCAAGTTCGCTTGCTTGAATTTCTCACACTCGCATGCCATTGTCACATTCACCTTAGATGAGACATGTCATTGAACCATGGTCATTGCCTTTTTGGCAGTGAACCACTGACAACAACACCAACACCAACAATAAATTAATAACAACATCATAAATGAAAATCATATTCATATATATATATTATATACTTTATATGTTTAAATATCAAAACATAAAACAATCACAAATCCATATCAGCATCAACAATTAGTATGATCGAATGACTAAAAACTCATCATCATCGTGTACTGGCAGTCTGGTCGACAATGCATCAGCAACATGTTGGAAACACATCTCGAATGTACCACATCCTGTGCATGTGCTAGCGATTGCCCATGATCGACGAAGGTTAGCAATCTTCTCTTGCGTACCCGGAATGTCCATTGCACGGGCGACCATCGCCTACACATGAGGAGAAATTGTTTTGGATTCAGTGAATTCTATCAAACTGGTTCTTGGAAATGTTGTTTTTGTAAAAACCGATATGTATGTATATATGAAAAATTAGTGTATTATTTATATATATATATATCAAACTACAATAAAACATCAAACCTATATTCAAAGGAATGACAAACCAACATAAGTATACTGTCACAATATGTACATAACTAAAAGACTAACTGTAATTAGATCAAGAACGCAAATCCGGCCTGAGCATAGCTCTGCATGATTGCGTCAGCTGTAATATCAGGTTGTATCCCATCCTGAGAGCAACGGTGGATATGGATATGACCGAACACAATCAAATGTCTATGTTTTTTGTTCGCACATTTGTATAGTTGTATGTATGTATGTATGAATGAATGAATGAATGAATGTATGAATGAATGAATGTATGAAGGTATGACTGTATGAATCTATGAATGTATGTTTGTATGAATGTATCAATGTATGACTATATGAATGTATGAATGTATGCATGGATGTATGTATGAATGTATGTATGCATGTATGTATGTATATATGTAATAATATGTTTATAATATATATATATATATATGAATATATATAATATATACATACATATGGCGTAAGCAATAAATATAATATATGTATGTGATTGTATAGGTGTGACTCATGTTTAATGCACTTAAAAAAAGTCCTGAAACATCAACAATGATCAATGACGTTTAGGTTTCAACTACCGGAACTGCAAAAACAAATAAACATTAGAAACAAAGACAAGCCTCTGGTATGGAGTCAGGGGCGTCTTCCTCATCAGTCTCCAAAAACTCCTGGCATAAAGGGTCAGCTTGAATTAACATAAACACAATCGTAAAGCTAAATAGTAAGTTGAATATATACTGCTAGACTTACTAGACTGTCGACTAGGCTACAAACATAGAATTAATTTATATTAATTAATATTATTGGTTATTGATAATGATGATAAGTGATTCATTAGAAATAAATTACGTCCGTATTATTAATTAGTCAGATGTCTATCCAAGTTCATTGAAAAAATAATAACAAGAATACTATATGACTATATTGAACAATGAAAATAATTATGTCAAACAATTAAATGTGGAATGTGGGAGGTGGTGCGTGGTGACACATCCCAGAAAAAAGGTGTGTGCGTATGGTTTGTTACGTGTAAACTAGCAATATTATATAACTATGCATGTATATAACTATAATTAGTTGTTTTATATATTGTATAAATTGGTTGATAGTTGGCCCATATCTTTTGAATGAATGTACTATAAGTTGTCGTTGAATTTGAATGTAAACCCGTTGGCACGTTTTGGTTGGCCCGCTGTTTCCATTGCTGACTGGTTTCCTGTGATTCATACGGCGAACTGAGTTGATATGACAGAGCGACGTCCAGCACATTCTTGATGCTCTGGATGTAGTTCGTCTGGTCTGTTACCTGATGATGGCGACAAATTATCTGTGGCTATGTGTGTTCCCTTTGTAAATAAGTTCGTTTTGATTGACATCATCTACACTTACTTCAGAAACAATATCACAATGAGAAGAACAGACTCTATTTGGAATTAAAATCATGAAACATGGGTCTAACTCATCTGATCAAAGTTGTTGTTGTTTATTTTCGACAATCAACAAAGTTTCAAGTTCAAATCTCTTCAACTCGCCTCAACCGAAGAAAACTTGGTGATGAGGTTCTTGATGCATGACCATACAGAAGTCCAGGGGATTCCGGTATCAGGTGCAAATGCAGCTGAACTGTCTTCCTCGATGAGCTTCCATGCCTGACAGTGCACAAGAACAAATGGAGTTAACCTACTGTCTTGATAAGAATTATAATGATGATTGGTAAGTAATCTCATATTCCATAGGATTTTACCTGGTCAGTATCAATGATTATATACCAGCCAGTACTAGCAACTGATGATGGCAGTATCAATGTGATCTTTGGGATGTGTTATTAACGTGCCTTGAGGTTCTTCGCAAAAAGGTCCTTGTTGGTGATCATGGTCGCTGATAACTCCTCACAATGTGCTTATTTCACACCAAGTGCTGATAATCAAAATAATACACTGTGATTGAAACCAAAGTCACTGCTGATGCTGAATATACCACATACATGGTGCATCTCATATGAAAGAACAAAATACAATATCATACCGACACTCACATGATATATCTGAATTTCATACGAACACCCAAATAAATTAGTTGAAAGGTAATGCCAGAAATATCATAATGAATCATAATTATAACACATTAGCTATTTCTATTGCCTCACCCTGTCCTCAAAGCTGTCAAACAGCTCTACCATGTCTTGTAGAAGACGAGTTTCGGAAACTTGAGCTTGATCTGAGCATGCCTGATCGGCGTCACTAATGGCAATATCTTGCAACAATGTTGTTAGAGTTTTTAATCATCATACAGTCATACAGCCATACAGTCATACATATCATATGATATACTTTTACAGAAACGTGTTATATAATTTGAATATATACAATGATATTTATATGTGTTAGTTATGTTATAAGTTGTCAGATTCAAAAAACAAGTATTTTGAAACTAAAGCAATGTATGATTCAGAATAAACTAAAACAACATAAAACATATTTATCAACATATATGTTATACATTATAAGAAAATATTTAGTCTGTATGATTGGATATTATCATATAATATCATATTCATAATCATTTATCATACTTTATAATCATATCATAAAATGATATTTGTGAAAAGCTACTTTCCTCATTCCTCATGATTCTACCATTTCTGGTTGACTTGGTTTGTTATGACACACACCATAATACAACTTCAAGTGAATGTGCCTGGTGTGAGATGAGCGCATCCACTTTGGATTTCATCTTGGAAAAGAGATCTGGTTTTTCATCCGCTAGTTCAGAGTCCTGCTGATCCGTGCCAATGACATCGCCGGTGTTGACGGGAGCCGTGACAGCCTGCTGTCATGGTCAGTGTGTCACAGATTGCAGGTTACACGGTGTACATATGATACAATAACATATTGGGTTTACATACATAAGTTATGTTATGTTACATTGATTGGGGTTGTGTTGCAAAGGTATAGTGTGTGAAACATTGTCACTCACCAATTGCTTATTGATCAAAAGTCAAAAGGTCAATATTATTAGTCTTACAATCTAGTTGTGTGGTATTGGTGTTGGCGTTGTTGTTGATGCTTTTGATGTTGGTGTTGATGTTGTTGTTGTTGTTGTTGATGATGTTAAAATGTTACTGTTAATGTTTGAATTTAATTTAATGTTGATGTTGATGTTGATGATGGTGGTAGTGGTTGTGTGGGTATTGGTGTTGGTGTCAGTGCTAATTTTCCACTTGGGTTGGTCCGCAAAAAAAAAAGACCCCCACAAGTCCCAAAATTCTTTCATGAAATGCAAGGAACATAATGTTTTTGGTAGACTTGTGGTATCTTTTTGGTAAACCAACCCAAGTGGAAATTTACCAGGTGTCGGTGTCGGTGTTGATGTTGGTGTTTGTGAATCAGTTTTTACAACACAATATGTAAAGTTGAGTTACTATACTTTTAGTACCCACAAATTGGCCGGCCTCTGGAGAAGCTGTGTTCGCTGTCGTGGCATTGTCAGCAGTCAACACATCTTCCATGGGTGTTGATTCAGTCATTGGTGTCGACTTGACGCGATTGGAATGCTCTTCGCTAACCAACCATACAATCATTTCTTCAACATCTTCAAGTACGTCACCTTCTGGATCAGCAAATGTCCATTCTTCACCAGTGATACCACATGTTGCCAAAATCGTTTTGACATGTTCGTCGAGCTGAGGGTGATTTTTGCATTGGGTAACCAGTAAGTTCACTTCATCTTCAGACAAACACCTCACAAAGTCACCAAGGATAGGTCTCCAAACAGAAACTGGTCCAGTTGTCTTTTCACGGGTTGTCACTACAATCTCTGACAGATTGATATGTGGTCCCCTGCTCAAGTTCAGGTAAACCTCTGGAATCACTGTCTTGTCAAGATCCATATGTCCATCCTGTGGGTCATGCTCAACTGCGATATCCTTGGCATCAGTCACATGTACTTGATGATCAACGGGAGCATCGTTGGGCGGTGATACTGCAGAAGGTTGAGTCTTCTGATTCTGGGTGAACTTCATAATGGAAGCCTGACCGACATCAGGAGGAAGGTCAAATGGGTTGCTGTTGCTGTCCGCTTTTCTCTTGCGGGGTGCTACCGGTTTCTTCGGCTCAGACTTTACTTTTGCTTTTGATTTTGTCTTGGGTGACTTGGCCGTGTTCTTTGTATCTGCTTTTGTCTTTGCCATGGCGAACGATGTTGGATGCACGATGCCAGCAACGCCAAATTGAGAGATCAAAAAAATAAACATAAGTAACATGAATCTGATTTCTCATATTTGTCACCATGATGAATGTTGGGTTGTAAATTTCTGCTAGGTAACAAAAATAGTATAGATTATAAAATAACATAGTAACAAATAATATAATAATCCGAAGATATGAAATCTAGATTATGCTGTATGCTTACATAAGCTTCATAAGCTAATGATGTCTCTCTCATCGAAAAATCATGACTGGATCCAGAATTTGCATCTGAAGAATCAAGACAAACAACGCTAGATTGGCGCTCGCAGAATGGATTTCGACAGATCAACGAGAATCAATTTGTAAAGTTTGTGTCAACCATTTGTATGATGACTGCAATGTCATTCGTTTTGTTTTTTTTCTTCCCTTGCTTGTACCCACTTGGAGCTGTGGGTAGGTATATAGCGCTAAAAACGCCAGGTTCTATCTAATACTGTACTGCAGATTGAAGAAGTCAGTGTACAACAGACAACTGCCTAAAAATGAAAAGCATAATGATACGATAGATATATATAACTTGATATAACCGTACAATGGTTGGCAACCAGGTTTTCACTCATTCGTCATGATTTGTGGCTCCTATGACTTCAATCTCGCTTTGGGAACTGTAGTATGTTACTCAAAGTCATGCTGGATGAGGCGTCGGTCTCATCAATGCTTGGATGGTATGTTGCATTGTGAGAGTACTCTCGCAAGTGGAGAGAAACATGCATGACAAGAGCCAACCAAAGGGAACACGAGACATATGTCTCAAGGGTTAGCGGATTGATTGTACAATATCACGAATAAACAAGAACTAACTAATAATTGATTTATTCGAATGTTATTCTGACATTCTCATCATGTCATGGCTTGATTATGTTGTTCACACTTGTATAATTGTATAACTGTATGAATGTAAAACTCTACAACGTACAACTATTGAAGACCGATTGATCAATCAATCCGTTTCATCGTGAAGTGACATCGCCGCAGGGATTTCTGTGACTGTGCATTGCATACACGCTACACCTCGCAGTGTATCTAGCACATGTAAAATCAGCCACTATGTTACATCTGTACATCGTCGTATTGAAGCAGTGAAGCTACAGCAACGATGTAACTCGCGCATGCAAAGTTGCATTGATATCAAGTTTCTTCTCCTGACAGTTCGTGCTCAATACATTGAGCATAGCCTTCAGTCTGCCGTTCGCTTTGACACCTCAGTCAAGGCAAGCCCGAACATAAAGGTTTATTCTAGTTTGTAAGTATTACAAGTACCGATTGTGATTTTCCTTGTGGCTTGTCATTGCCGAGTTCATTGTCTAATCTGTCGAATATGTTTCAACATTTATCGAAATGTATCAATGGTTACCTCAGTGTAAATAATCCCATATGAGTCATATGGTCCATATGACTCATGTGATTTCGATGACCGTCCTATAAGAAACTTAGTATGGATATAATATATGAGACATGCTAATTTTCCACTTAGGTCGGTCCCCCAAAAAATGCCCCCACGAGTCCCAAAATATTTCATAAAATGCAGAGAAAATATTGTTTTTTTGGGGACTTGTGGGGGCCTTTTTTGGTGAACCAACCTAAGTGGAAATTTACCTATGAGACGAGATTCTCTGGGAAATGCATTTCTTCCCTGTCGGTAGATTTAACAGCACTGCGGCTGATTGTTCACCAAGCAATGTCGTTGCACGATGATGCAATGCTTTCAACTCCTTAGGGGTGAACCGAGTGGCACGTCACGATCTAAAAACATGGTTTCGAATCTTAAGCTCTAATTGCCTTTTTTTGAGGGAAAACGAACACACAATTTCAATATGTTCTCAAGGCATAGACATGAAACCGAAAGATTGGCGCAAATGTCAGACGGTTGACAGTTGAAAGCCGAAAGGTCTTTCTCTACTGAGATGATAATCTCTGCTGACGAATCGCATGTGTCCAACAACTTTTGCTGAACTGACTCAATTGCTTTGAGAAACTGATCAGGTTCATCAGGATTGATTTCAGGAATCACTTTCAACATGGCTTCAAGGTTCTTGACAGACTGAGTGGTATCCTTCTCATAGTACTCACAACGTTTGGTCATCAAAGATGTTGCACTGTTCTCCAAGTCCAGAAAGCATGTTTCAAATGTACCGAAATCTGGAAATGCATCTTTGAAGTCAGTGCTGTTGCGACTGAGACTGTCATGGATTGACGTCAAGCATGCCTTCTGGTGTTCTGGCTGTGTAGTCACCTTGGCCTTCCCTGAGCCTGGTGTTCTGAAAACACGATGCAACTCCATCAGTGGCCGAATGAACTGCTCGAGCCCTTCGCGTGAATCTGGTTCTTTGACAGCTAAGTCTTTGGCATTGCCTTAGATAGCAAACAAGTATTGTGACTATATGATGTATATAGTCGGAGATTGAAAAAATGATATAGAAGATAGTAACATGATTTGATTTCATGAAAGTCTCCAGACAGTACGATAACACAATTGTTCATATCATCTATTCTCGTTTATTTGAATATACGAGATAATATAGTGACATCATGGCTTCAAATACCAAGATACTACATGTCACAAAGACCTTGCATAAGCCGAGCAATTTGACATCCTCCTGATTGTCAGCATCTGGAAGCCGAGTGCTCAACAAACACATCTTTTCGGATAATGCTGATACTGCATGCACATCTTCTGCAGATAGTGGTGGCTTCTCCACCTCAGGGGTAGAGGAAATGAGAAGTGAGATTACCCAATCAGTCAATAAAACATATATATATATTATACTATGTAAGGTGTATGGTATGTGTATTTATATGTATTTATGTTATTTGTGTGTGAATGTATGTGATATATATATAAATATGATGAATGAATGTATGCATGTATGAGTGCATGTTATGATAGTACAAATGCATGTACGAATGAATGTGTTATGTATGAGGAATGTATGAGTATATAAACTAATGTAACTATGAATGAATACATGAATACATGAATATGTTTGTGTATTTATGTATGTATGTATGTATGTATGCATGCATGAATGTATATATGTATCTACGTATGTATGTATGTATGTATGTATGTATGTATGAATGTATGTATGTATGTATGTATGTATGTATGTATGTTATCTATGTATGTATGTATGTATGTAAGTATGTATGTATGCTACCGTATGCATGTATAAATTTGTGAATGAATATATAAATACTTGCATACGCAATGCAGTATGTCATATAATTCAATCATTGATCATCTTCATGCAATAGACACTATATCAGCTCTATTGCTTTAAACTATGAATTTTAGATAACTGAACTAAACTAAGAATGTTGAATATTGAATTATCAAGACTTGACCCCAAACAAAAAAACATAGTTTGTCATACATGACCTTGGCCATGATGATGCCAATCTGTTTGATTGCTATATGCAGTGTGTCTTGTACTTGTTGGTGAGTCATCTTGCAAACAATCTCCCTCATGTTCTCAAAGGATGCAAGCGAACTTTCACTAGCCAATCCAATCGACGTGATGGATTTCAAAGAACCTGTTTGGTAACGATTGATCGAATCAACCAACCGCATGATCACAGGCGCCGAGGTTTCACAATTGTCCTTGATAACTGATTTGAAAGTATCTTCGATCTGATGAATCAGCGATTCAGTGTCAAAGGCAATCTTCATGATTGATGTTGCATCGGAACTCACACATTTGCTTCCTGATATTGGCTTCCAATTGGAAAACTGCATGGTTGGAAGACTGGAAATTGTTTTGGTGTCCAAGAATTTGGTAGCTGCTGGCTGGAACCATGGAAGTCCTTGTCCGAGAATGAAAGCCTTCGAGACCGCGGTCACGAAATCTGACAAAGATTTCTTTGCAGTTGAGATCACACTCTTGTATGATGATGCAACCTGTGATCCACCCTTGGTGAAAGCCTCTGATAAAGAATGAAAAGTATCCACTCCCAGTTTCGAAGCAGTTTCCCAATCGAACGTTTCCATGTGACACTCTGGCATGGACTCCATGAACTCATCAATCTTCTTCACATTCTCTGTCAATGCCTGAAGATGGCTGACTTCCTTCAAAGCATTCTGGGCCTTTACGTTTGCATTTTTGATGATGTATTTTCCCTGGTGGATTCCAAAGAAGACTGCTGCAAGACCGGCATCGTCACTTTGATCATTTCGCTCCATGGAGGAATGAAGGACTCCAACTGACTCAATGATCTTAGCCGGTAGAAATTGGTCATCACACACAATCACGTGAATATGATCAAGTGATAGATGTTGAAAAAGTGCACGCCGTTGTGGCGCGAAGCACATTTCCAAGTCAAAATGTACAAAACACCTCAGCTCCGGACCACTTTTGGAAGTTGAGATGTCGAAAAAGTGCACGCCGTTGTGGCGCGAAGCACATTTCGAAGTGAAAAGTGTAAAAAAACTGAGGGTTTTGAGCCTTTTTTGACGTGAAGATGTCGAAAAAGTAGACACTGATTAACTTAACCAACTTGACTAACTTAACTAACTTCACTAACTTGACTACCCTAACTTCGACGACAACAGCAACAGCAACAGCAACAACAACAACAACCACAACAACTACAACTACAAGAACTACAACTACAACAACTACACAACAACTACAACTACAACTAGAACTACAACTACAACAGCTACAACAACAACTACAACTACAACTAGAACTACAACTACAACAGCTACAACAACAACTACAACTACAACTACAACTACAGACAGACAGACAGACAGACAGACAGATAGATAGATAGATAGATAGAGAGATAGATAGAAAGATAGATAGATAGACAGACAGATAAATAGATAGATAGAGATAGATAGATAGATAGATAGATAGATGGATAGATAGATAGGTAGATAGATAGATAGATAGACAGGTAGACAGATAGACAGATAGATAGATAGATGGATAGATAGACAGATAGACAGCTAGACAGATAACAGATGAAAAAAAGAGAGAGAGAGAGATAGATAGATAGATAGATAGATCAATAGATAGATAGATAGGTAGATAGATAGATAGATAGGTAATTAGATGAAAGAGAGAGAGATAGATAGATAGATAGATAGATCGATAGATAGATAGATAGATAAATAGATAGACAGATAGATAGGTAGATAGATAGATAGAAAGTTACATAGATAGATAGACAGATCGATAGATAGGTAGGTAGGTAGATAGATACATAGATACATAGATACATAGATAGATAGTCAGAGAAAGAGAGGCTTTTTCAAGTTGAACATTCCTTCATGTTCAAAGACTTTCAATTACTGTGATACATTGATCATGCTGAATGAGGAACCAGCGCTAGAGACGAACTCAATACAGAAATTCCACCCAAACTGGCAGTTTGCGTTTCTACCTTAGACTCGGTTTACTCTGCAAAGGTCAATGTGTCAATGCGGTCATTTGAGCCATTTGTCTCCACATCAACCCGTACCATATCTTCTTTCCTACCTTTGATTTTTAAAAAAAAACATACTGTAATCAAAACGGGCTGGACTAGCATCATACATTCACATAAGTTTAAATACATTTACCACACTCACGTACCTATAGATAGATTCACATGCATGCGCTGGCATGCACATGCAATTGCCCACGTACACTTATTGTATGCATTTTTAATCATACATCAACAAAAAACATACCTACCATCATACCTACCTACTTACCTACATGTCCATGCGCAAACATACGCACACACCTGTGCACATACCTACGCACGCCCACCCGTACACCACCGTACACCTGTATACAAACTGCACAAAGTCCGCAAAATACACGCAAATATAGTTACTCATACATAGTGTCTCATACACGGAATTTACAGACCTACGTGCTTGAAGCCAAAGGGTCAGGATGGAATTCTGGGGGCGCAACGACGCGGCTGGAAGAGTGAAGAGTAGATGAGACACAGCGCGGCGTAGGATGATGAGGATGATGATGAGGATGATGAGGATGATGAGGATGATAATAATAATGATAATGATCCAATCGTGACAATGGTGATAAGGATGATACATGATGATACTGAGCAGGATTAGGATCAGGGTGAGGTGATGAAGCTGAGGATGACGGCGAGATAACAAGCAAGATAAGGACAAGGATGAAGAGGGGGAAAGCCGGGGGGTTCATGTGCACTGTGAAATATCCTTGCCAGTCTTCAGCATGATGCATTACCTGTAAATACGAGTCTACCCTCAATACATGTTCCTAAAGCAAGACCAACTCAAGCTACGCAGTTTTCACACATAGAGACAGACTAGGTCTGCATACATACATATATTCCTACACTTGTTTCAATGCTCTTCACTCTCCGACGCAAAGCTTCCAGCAAGATTGTTCAGGGGAGGGCTGAATGCTCGACAGGCCCGCTTCCAACCTCGCAACCTTTGCAAATAAACAACTTCCGCAATGTACGGATTTTCGCCAACATGCTTTACTCGTTGCGTTTTCTCATTGTTTAGATCCGTTTGATTTTTTTGTTTTTGCTACACCGAAACAAGTTGCAACTGGCAACCTAGAGGCACTGATTGTCATAGGCAGCCTCCGCGACAATCATCAGGGTCAGGAATTGCCAGTGTTTGGTCTTGGGTTTTCATGAGCTAGTTAAGGGGGGAATTCTCCAAACAAATCCTCAGTACTTAGACAAACGCCAGAAACTCACTGAGTTTGGTGTAAGTGGCAATCTCTCCACGGCGCCAAATCGCTATCCACAAATGTCGTGCAATATCCACAAATGTCGTGTTTTACTGAAGGTATCTTCTTCATTGCGCATTCCTCGCGTTGTGTCCTCTGAATCCATATTCGAGCCAGGAAAACACCGTCTACATATCAAGCACGAACCACTGCCGCTAGTATAATTCATGTGATGCATACAAAATGGAAACACCTGACATGGAAAGGCATCTTGACTTGGTGACATGTGAAAGTGAAGGGCCCCGGGTTTAGCACAAACGAAAAACTCCGTTTGCCTTTCCGTGGGAAAACATGTTCCGCCTAGAAGACACTTCTTTCCATTGCTGCCATTGCTACCGTTGCCGATGCTGACTCTCTGCAAAAGTTGCTTCGTTAACCGCCTCATCCACAGGCCTTTTGCATCCGCAGGTACGGCCCGTCTTTCAACCCCACCTACCTTGCACTCAAGGCTTCCTGGCCAAAACGACTAGCATCTCCAGTCGAGAGCACGCCGAATTCCATCCTGTGAAACTCCAAATCCTATCCCTGCGACCTAAAGCAGACCGGCAAGTCACGAAGTGAAGCCCCATAGGCACAGCCGAGCTTCTCAAAAGTTGTCAAAAAAGTATCCTGCCGCAGCTTCATCTCATGTTGACACTTTGCTTTCATATGACGTTTAGATGCTCGGGTATTTCACTTGTCATTGAATTAGTTGCAGGTGTTCACTAAGCAAATGGCCCAGATTTTGCTGGATTGAACCACCCTGACATCCCCGCCGCATCTGCCTTCTCTTCCGATTCTTCTCTTAATTTCTCCTTAGCAGAGGGCAGACAGGTCATCCTCAACACAAGTCCACCTACGATTTTTTCCACTGCAACAACTTTAATATAAGCTATTGGAACTGGAATTACCGCGGCTGCTGGCACGAGAGTTGCCCTCCAATTGATGCTCACTAAGAGCGTCCAGTTCTACTCATTGCAACTACAAGACATGGATCCCCTCTATTGTTATTTTTTGCATTACCTCACCGTGTCAGGATTGGGTAATTTGCGCGCGTGTTGCCTTCCTGAGATATGTGGCAACTGCTTCTCAGGCTCCTTCTCTAGAATCAAACGCTCACTCTTCACTGCCCGTCAGCAAGGCCACGTGATTCGTCCAGTCATCATGAATCACCACATGACCAAGTAGAACACAACCCTTCTGCCAAGCCCGGCTTGGATGCATGTATCAACTCATCCATGCCGAATAAGAAGAGCCAAGTTTCCCAAGGTACTGCGTTCAGACGGACCGGCCTCTTCAAATTTGACGCTGTTCCAGTGGGCGCCACCATGATGGGTCCTGTGGTAGCTCAGCCTTGGCTGCTCCAAGAAACCACAGGTCCACACCGCTGTCCAGCATGTTGTCCCCACACGCGTTTAAAGAACTTCAGCCAAGGTGCTGGACACAAGGTGATGATTCTGTAGCCGGAGTAGGTCCACTGATTAAAAAAGCACGCGAGTCACAAGGTTGGTGAACGACCTTGGGAGCTGAAGAGTCAGTCCCAATGACCCCAATGAGAAAACCACGCACCTAAATTTGTTCCCGCACCAAGAGCCCACGATCCGCCCAAGGGACTGCATTGACATTGAACAGGAAACAAAGACCTTTCAACTCGATATGGCCGCCCCAAGTTCCTCTTTGTCTCATGTGAGCAATGTAGGGCTCAAAGTCACCCTTGGCTGGAGTTGGTGGTGGTAAGCGCCTCGCGTAGGCCTACATCAAATACTCGCCTAGGCCTGCGTTTACAAATAGATTTGCGCATTCATGATCTGTATGTGCACATGTGTCGCACATTATGTATAAAGGTCTACATGTATACACATGTGCATATGCATGCAGGCATATGTGCACATGTAAGCGGATATACATGTATCGTTGCAAAAGAAACCCAAACGCCAGGACGCATTTTTGCTGCCATTTAAAGGTAGACCGTGATGTCAATGACATAGAAACATTGAAAAAACATGCACAAAAACACGCACGTATGTATATATGCATGCGCATAGGCACACATCTCATCTCTGCATTGACATTCACATTATCATCTTTTGCGTACCCCTACTCACCAGCCATCATCACCATCGTCATTGCTGCTGGCCAGGTTCTTCAATAAAACCCTGGAAGTCCCCAGGCTTTTTTTTCATATAGTCAGCACATTCTTCGCGCAACCGCACCTAGGGGACAACGGAAACTTACACGGCTCAACTTACACAACTCATTTCACACGGGTGGGTTTCAAAGCAGCCAGCTTCACATGTGGGGTTAACCGGTCCTATAATTCCATTTTTCAACATGCGGTTCCTCCGAAGGCCCCAAGGGGTCCACTCCAAAGCTAGCGCCAAGGCACGTGCGCCTCGGGGTCGTGGGCACCAACCTGTTCCGCCCACCTCAGGAAGTTGCGCGTGCGCGGCAAAGCTGTGGGCTTGCGCGCTGCGGTGGGGATCGGGAACGGAAATGAAGGGAAATGAGGTGACACGGGGGAGTGTTGGATGGTGCTCCTCATGCTAATTGATGGTGGGATGATTGGATGACGGTCGCTTTTGGTAAAGATTTTCCATCTTTCATCATTGATTCTGATTGACTGACCACTTTTCACATACAAATCGTCCATCTGAATCCAAGATAGGCAAAAAGAAGCCAAAAGCAAGAAGGACTCCACCAACAGTTAAGTTAAGTGGTCGCGAACACTCTGCTGAACCAAGTTGGCGATGATCTACCTCTTAAACATGTTGTTTTCAGAGAAAGAGAGGAGACCTCAAGCACCTTTCGGTCCATCAGTGGCTTCGCTCTGCCATCCCTGATTCACAACCACCAACCTCTCCTATAGGTTTCCTATTTTTGAAACTTCCGCCACCGCCTTGTGCGGTACTACTGGTATTATTGATGAATACATCACCCTTGACCATCCTGTAATCATGAGAGGTGAGGTACCCGGGACGGGTAAGAGCTGTATATGCCAAAGGATGTTAGACAGGGATTTTAAGGTTATATTTGTTTGCCCTACTAGTAAACGATTACAATCTTTTGAGGGAGAAGCAATTACAATAAAAAAGTTTTTGGTATATCACCTGGCACTGTTAAATTGGATGAGTTAGTTTGATTTTTCAGAGTTTGATGCCATTGTTTTTGATGAGGTGTATTTTGCTAGTAGGAATGTATATTGGAAAATGAAGCAGTTTGTGGAGAAAAATACGAAGGATAAAAGGATAATTGGTACCGGTGATGCCTTACAACTAAAACCTATTCAGGAGCTTACTAACACTCAGGGTTATCATACTCATGCTCATGAAATCATTGATGACATTCTTGAAAGCAAAATTAATCTTAAAATATGCAAAAGGCTAAATAGTGAAGAAGATAGAAAGAAAATATACAATATTAACGATGACTTTTTTGTTAATAAACTATCATTTACAAAAATCATTGAGAAATACTTTTCATATACAACTGACATCAAGGGTTTTTAGTATAACATAGCTTTCTTAAACAATACCTGTAAAAATGTATCAATTGAAATTAGGAAACAAGAAAATAGACAATATGTATATGAAAAACGAGAAAGGCTAATATGCAGAGAATACACCAAGGTTGATGGTAAAGTTTTTAATGTAAACTTTGAGTATGAAATAGTAGAAGTACGTGATGCATTTTTAATGCTGAAGGATATTAAAAGTCAGGAGGTTAGAGGTTTGGATAAAGATGAGGTCAGGGCATCATGTATATTTGCTTCGTGCTTTACTTGTCATTCCGCCCAAGGCAGTAGTATAGATGGAGATATTACAATATTTGATTACAACCACGTTCTGGTAAGAAATTACCGTGAATTCTTATGGACTGCTATTACACGCACAAGGGACTGAAGTAAAGTTAAGTTTTTTTAATACAGTGATGATACAGAAGGTGAATTAAATAAGCAAAACAGAATGAGCTATTTTAATAGGAAGGTTGTAAATTATAAAATACAAGACCGTAACGCCAGGAGAGAAATACCTAAAGTACCTAAAGAAGGTTATGTAAATACTCAATTGTTTTTAGACAATATTAAAAACCAATGTAATTACTGTGGCTGTGGCTTTGCATTAGGTATTAGAAAAGGTAATATACCAACAAATCTGACAGCCCAAGGAAAGGATAATGATATAAGCCATACTTTAGATAATTGCATTGCTTACTGTTGTAGATGTAATAGTGGTTGTAAATGAGGATTTAAAAAATATTTCTTAGAAAAAGTATATAAGGAAAAAACTGTATTTGCAAACCCTGCCTATATCAGGCACACCCTTTTGGCCCCAGATGGCTCACACGTAATGATGTGAAACCACCTTACATGAGATGCAACACATTTGCACCCCCTGCGCTGCGATGCCACGGTTCCGTGGTCTAAGCAGCAAAAGTAGCGGAGTCTGGGATCCATGGGCCTCAAGTCAGTTGCTTATGGCCTGTTCTCCCAGCTATCTGAAAACATAACCTCTGAAGATGCGAACTGATCGCAGCCTGAGGTTGCACTTTGGTCACGAGGTCCGAGTCGTTGAGGACCCCTTTCACCTTGTCAATCTCCAATTCCTTCTCAGAGACTTTCTCCTGAAGCCACAAATATTTGGCCTGAATGTGTCGGCTCTGCCCAACACCTTTCCTCTCTGTCATGGCCTTCGCTGACGAGCTGTCAACCTTGACCTTCGTCATTCCCACCTTATCGTACCAAAACTCCAAGATGCCCTTGACGAACTCGGCCAAAGTCGCTGTCCTGCAAATCCCGTAGTACTCGCTCTCAGCGCTCGACAAGGCCACGATCTTCTGGCTTGCACCTTTGACTAGGACGGAATGTCCTCCAATCTTCACCACTGATCCACTTGTTGACCTTCTCGTTCGAAGATCTCCTGCCCAATCAGAATCGCTCCATGCTGTCACCTTGAGCTCCTTTAGCGTCTGCTCCGCAAAGACACGCTTCATGTAGGGGTACTTGAGCAAATACCTCACAGCCTTCTTCAAGCGCAGCATGTCGTTGAGCTTGGGACTTTTCATAGCTCCCGCCAAAGTTCTCACTGCATGGCATAGATCAGGACGATCTGTTGAAAGGTAGGCCAATCTCATCACCATTGACCTGTAGGTGCTCTGCTGAGCTTGGTCCAGCACAGGCTGCTGTTCCGTCACCGCCAGCTCTCCAGGCGTGATCTTGTCCTCCGGCACGTCGCACCCCTTGGTGTTGACGCCAAAGTTGAAATCCCTGATCAAGATCTCAGCATGTCGAGCATCAGCCTCAATCTCGAGACGCTTGCCCCCACTGTCCGTTCCATCTGGGATGAATCTGACCAGGCGATTCAGGAAGAACATCTCCTGCACCTCTGACCCATCCTTGCCCAACAGAGATTCCCATCTTGCTGTGTACTTGGTGTTCAAGACCTTGTCCAACCAGCACAGGTCCTCGTAGTTCCCAACGACCAAGAAATCGTCGCCATGAACCAATCCCACCAAGCTTTTCTCCGGAAATCGGAAAATTGCCGGGCACAATCTGCTGAATGTAGCGCCCTGCGAACCCATCCACGAAGTGTAGTCCTTCTGGAAGATCTTTGAAGCATCCTGCGTTCCGTACATGCTCTTGAGATCTCTTGAGAAGTTTTCCCACCATAGCACCAGGATCGTCAGGTCGATGTTGATCTTCTGGAGGTAGTTCAACAAATAGGTTCCTCTCTGCCTTGCCCATGAAGTGCGCACGGCTGATGTCCCAACTGGCCATCATCTTGTTGTTGTCCTTGCCCTCCACGTTCGTCATGAACATGCTCATCAAGGCATACACACTCTCGATGGGCGGTGTCGCAGAAAAGACTTCCGCTCCTCCAAGTTGATCCTCAATCCTCTTTGCACGCTTCACCTCTTTTGCCACGAGGCGTGATCTCACCTTGGGTTTGTTGCTGTCGCCCTTGTTGATGTCCACCCACTTGAGCTTCAGCACTTCCACATCACATTCTTCCATTGGGACTCACATAGACGGACTCCTGATGAATCCACCTCAGCTCCTCAGCTCTTGCCTCCTGCACGAGCTTTGGATCCAATGTTGCACCAGACGCATCGTCCTTGTACTCCTCCATCTCGGCCTCCCAAGACACCATGTCGTCAGGCGATGGTCCTGACACTTGTTCCTCCACCGCACTGATGACGTTCATCTTCTCCAGCTCTCTCTTGAGCCCTCGAAGCACCGCTTCCACCAATGCCACTGGGTACACCTGTGCAGCTTTTGCCCGATTGGCACCCACCAGATGTACATGCCGATGAACTTCTCGACCTTTCAGATCGTTTTCACAAACTCCTTTCAGCTCCTTCGCAATCTCCTCAGAGTTGGTAAGCCACAGCGTCTCCTTGCGCACATGCAGTAGCTCTCCCTCATCGTTCTTCAGCTTCATTCCAAAGCGACACATCGGGGATTGCACCAGGTAGCTGTTGGGGTCATTGGCTAACTCCTCCACCTCGCTTTCCTTCCATGAAGTTGCATCACGAGGGTGTTCATGAAGATAAAATCCTCCAAGTCGTGCTTGCCTCTTGCAGCACCTGATAGATCTCCTCAGCCGAAGTCTCCCAAGCATCTCCTCTTGCTCGACGATCTCCTTCAGCCTCTTGTGGTTTGATAACCTCCGCAAAGGACTGAATGTTGTGCACGGCGGCGAAGATGTCACCAACCACGGCTTCTCCGCATCCAAGATCTCCAGCAGCAATTGGAAGTCCTCGTCCTTGTCCAGGTTCCATCTTTCTGATCCATCTGGTTTCATCTCTTCCAAATCCACTGCTATCCCTTTTCTCAAGCCGAACCTCTCGGCTTCTTTGTTCATCCTTTCAGGTGAGAAGACCTCAACCACATCCATAGCCGCCAGATCTGCAATGCTCTTGGCTGCCTCGTAGCTCCCGATCAGCAATGTCATAGCCTGGATCGAAGCTGCCCTCACCGGGCTTGCACCTTCTGCATCGGCCTCTTGACAAAGGTCATCCATCCACATCCACAACGCCTTCTTCACCTCCTTTTCTCTTTGTACCCCCTGATGCTTCCGGCGCGGCAACCCCAGCTCCTAGGTTCAGCTCTCCTCCAGCCGATCCCTGAGCAGGTTCTGCAGCCATCGGCACCACTCCTTGGGGATCCACTGCCTCTTCAAGAAGCCTATCCTCCTCTCTGAGCCTTTTCACTTCCGCATCGTCAGATGCTGCTGCCTCATCTAGGCATCTTTTGATCCTCTGTCGGCATTCTGAGCTGTGCGCCACTTGCTGAAATCCAGCACCCCTCACCAGCGACAAGCACCCTGGGCATTCATCTGTACGCCCAAATCTTGTCAGGTACTCTCTCCTCACTGGCCAGGCTTTCACACCTTGCCTGCTCTGTTGGCTGCTTGCACTAGGCCCACCAACCATTGGCCTGTTGTCTCCAGCTGCACCTTCTCCTCCATCTTGACGTCCTCCACCTTGTCCAGGAACTCCTTGTTGAAGAGCTGGTCCAAGTGCAGGTTGAACGATGACCACTTGAGGTTGAGGTTCCGCTGGTTGAGCTTGTTCAGGAAGTTGTCTCCTCACGTAGGCACGAACATCCCATGGGCTGCCCTTCAAGTTCTCCTCCAAAGCAGTCCATTTCTCATCCTCCGGCAGTGAATGGTATGAAGTTCCCACCACCACGCCTTCTGTTGTCATGCCCAGCACGCTCCCAAATCTGTTGTGACATCCAAGAAACCGTGCTGGCTTCATTCTTGCTTGATCACCTCTCTTCCCTTTCCCTGCCGGCTTGATCATGATTCTTTCTCCAAAGACCGGCATGGGTTTGATCCATTTCTTGCCTGTCCTTCTCTCCTCAGCTGTTCGGCCATCTGCGCCGACCCTGTAACGGTTCGACTGCTCGGCGGCATACCGAGGAACCCAAAGAAGTAGTGGATGATCCTCAGGAATGTCCTCATACTTCTTCTTCAGCGACATAGTGATTGCACGCACTCTCCATTTCACCTCTCGAACTGCTGCTTCAGCTTCTCCATTGGCACGTGCATCACCTACAGGACTTTCCTCGCAGACCACTTTGGTCAGGCATTTGGCTTCTTCCCCTGCAGCCTTCTTCATCTTCACCAAAGCATGCTCACCGTCGGACTTGAGGACGACTTCCTTGTATCCAAGAAGTTCCAAGAATCTCGCCAAAAGTTTCCGACCAGTAGTTTCGCCATCTCCCTTCTCCCTGAGCGAAGTTGCCATCTGCATGCCCGTCTTGCGGTCTTGTGCCACCAAATGCGGCCTGGCACCCTCAGCATCCGTCAGGTACCAATAGTCCATGACCACTGTGTTGAGCAACTCCCCCTGATGAGGTACTCGACGATGTTGTTGCCCATAGCCCGTTGCCGCCACGCATTCAGTGCACCAGCTTCGGTACACCGCATGGCCAGAAGCTTCATGCTCTTTCTTCTCCGCTGGTGTTGGTGTCGGCGGACTCCACCCCGGGTTGGCAGGTCTTGCCTCAACTCCTTCAGAGATGACAAGCTCCTCTCCACCCGCAGGCACATCCACCTCTTCCTCCAGGGCACACGCAAACCGTGGTGACCTGGTTCTCTCCCTTCTCGGCACTCCTGCTGGTTCTGGAGGTGCTTCACTCCTCCTTGGGATCGCTCTCACTTCTCCAGTTGTTCTCGTCGAAGGCAGTGTTGATGTCATAGTCCCGGAAGAAGACAACGGTCTCGACATAGATGGTGGTGGTCCTTCAGGTGAATGTGGAGAAACTGCATCTTGATCGGGGATTTTCTCCTTGAGGTAAAAGTTGTAGACTCCATCTTCTTCAGCCACTGGAATGATCCCCTCTTTCCCAAATCTCCACACTGCTTTCTGGTAGGCCTCATTCATAGCCTTGTTGACCGGATGCGAACAGGGAATAATCTCCCCTCCACCAGTTCCCAGCCATGTCACGTAGCCCTTGTCGTGCATCTTGGCTGCACTGCACGTCGGCCACCTGACCATTCAACTTCCGCATGGCTCCTTTGGTGTCTTCTCCACGTAGTACAGCATTGCCATAGGCGTTGATCACCTCACCACTCGCAGTCTTGAGCTTCATGGTCTCCTCCTCTCCAACGTTGAACATCTTCTTGGGAAACACCGTCAACGAAGCTCCTGTGTCTAAGTTGCAACGGACCCATTCTGGATCCACCGAAGTCGTAGATGCAATGGAAGGCAAAGAATCTGGGCTCCACTCCTCCTCAGTCTGATCCACTGCCACCATGATCGTCTCCTCGTTCTCGTCAGCCACCTCTGTTCTTGCTCTCGAAGAATCCCTTGACCGACTTGCATTCTCGTTGAACGGCCTCTCAACCACCTCCGGTGTACTTGAAGGCGATCTTCTTCTCCTCCTCGAAGGTCTCGACTTTGCCACTGTCAGCGTATTGAGCTCCACCAAACCTTCCCACAGTTGTTGCATTTTCCGTTGAACTTCTCCCCCTTTTTCGGTGAACTGCTTGCCGACCTCGAAGTTGAAGAAGCAGGTTGACCTTTTCCACTTTTGGGTTTACTCCAACAGTCCCGACTGCGATGTCCATGCTTCCCGCAATTGTTGCAGGTGCCGTCGAACTTCACGGTCATCTTGTTGTGGTTGTCATTCTTCCCATGCCCCTTGCCCTTTGCGAGCGATGCCAAAGTTCCTGAAACTGCTTTTGCCAAAGAGTCAACGTCCATAGGAATTGTTCCCCCTGAGCCCCCTGACGATTTGGCGAAGTTTGCACTCAACGTCATCCGGCTCCCTGTCTTCACTTCCATATAATTGACGACTTCACGTTCCATGTCGTCAAAGCTGCGAAACCGTGTGTGGTTCAGCAGCAAGTGGGTCTCCAACTCCTTCGGGACCAGCTTTTCCAAGGCGTTCATCGCCAGGCTATCTGGTAGGGCTTCTCTTTGACCAAATTGATCCCTTTTCTTGTCGTACCTGCTTTTCAAGGCTTTCCATCGCTCCAAAGCGCTCTGCAAAGAGTCATAGGATGCCCTCTCTGGATTGGTCAATGCCTGGAGCATTATGCGTTTTCTCGACCCAGTTGCAGGATCAAATCGGCGATGAAGTGCTCGCCATGCTTCTAGTCCTTGGCCCGTGGTGACATTCTCCACAACATCGAAGGCCACCGACTCCGTTGTTGCCCTCAGCACACTGTAGAGCTGGGAGTTGAAGTCACCAATGTCCTCCCAGCGGTCCAAGTCATCTGCATTGATGCCGAAGGTGTCCATGATGTCGTTCTCCGTGATCTCAGCGTCCATGGCCGATGCCCACTCCATCACCTCTCTTGATTTGCCTCCGAAAACTCCATGAGCATAGTCCTCCAGCTTCACACTCCACAACCTGAATTTGCTTTCTGCGTCATCACCTAGGATCTGTGGTTCTCCCAGGCCTCGATGGTCAATCAGACCTTTCGGCTTCCCCAGCTTTGTCAAAGCCGTGGGTAGTTCACGTAGTGCTTGTAGAACTTCTGCCATGCCAGCTTGTGCTCCTCCATGTTGAGGCGACTGACCTTGGGACGCCTCAAAGGTCGCCAGTCTTTCCCTCAGCACCGTGTTCTCTGCCTGGGCCTGCGCCATCTGAGCTTGCAATTGCTGGATGGCTGTCGTGACCTCTTCCAAGCTCGCCATCCCCACAAAGTGCTCCTAGTAGCACCAGCCCCACCGAGGATCTCCACAGTGCCACCAGGAGGATCGCCAGCACGGCCACCTTGATGTAGTGGGACCACACTGATGCCGAAGGTCTCGTCCCCAGCACCAGTTGCCCACGAAGTGCCTCGCGGCCTCGAGCCGCAGCACCACCAGGGGTCGCTACCATGCAAACCCTGCCTATATCAGGCACACCCTTTTGGCCCCAGATGGCTCACAAGTAATGATGTGAAACCACCTTACATGAGATGCAACACATTTGCAGTATTATATAATACTATGAGTTATTTTGATACAGGGAATTATGAATATGAATGTACTATGGTTTATTTGTGTAAAAGGTGCGGTGATGCAAAACCCTTAGAAGATTTTTACAACAAATGGGATGATAAAGCGAAAGAAGAAATATATTATAAAACTTGCAAGGAATGTAGAGGTAAGACAAAAGCAACAAAGGAAAGAAACAAAAATATGCCTGCAACTTGGGTTAAGGAATTTGTTAAAGAAAATAATACTTGGGAAGAAGGCAACAATTGGGCTGGTAACCCAAGAGAACTTAAGCTGACATCCTACAAAAGATACAAACAATTGGCTACAGCAAAAGGTATTGGAATACTGACACAAAACAGTTTGGTTTTGAAATGGTATTTAATAATAACATAAATGTTGAAAAAGAAGATGGACAGCAATATTATATAAATATTGTTTTTGGACTTGCAGATTGAGTTTTAGATAAATGTGCTACAGTGTTGTCTTCTAATAAATATTTAGTTATAAGATAAAATATTTACTGTAAAAAACTGTATAAAGAAATCATGAGATATAATATTAGATATTATGAGCAATACTGGCAGTGAGGTGGGGCTTTGCAAAATTTACTCCATTGAAGAGTTAGAAAAGCAAAAAGACAAGTAAAAAACAATTATATGTGCAAATGCTGTGATATTAAATATTGCGACGAATGCCTCAAACCAAAGATAAGACTATCAATATGTTTTAAATCATTCCCCATTGAAGTATTAGATACTATTGGTAGTTTTATGAGATGTAGTGATTGTATCAGAATGCTGAAGGTAATAGAAGAAGAGACACCAGACCAGTAAATAAGAGACCACGGTTGCGTTCAGGATACATTTGGTGCTAAAGCCTACTATCATACTACCCAGCGCTGCCCCCAGGCACCTGGTCACGAAACCCCTTTTTTTGTTTTTTTTTGGGTTTGGGGTGGGGGGGCGATGTTAACGTCCCTGTGAACTTGCTCACGTCATGTATGCAAGATTACAAAATGAAAATCGCATTTAGATACATATACATATATATGTATATAAACATGTGCATACATATACATTTATTTTCACCGTTGTATACGTACAAATGTACACATCTTCTTGTTTATATTTATCCACATAAATATATTTATCACTTACGTGCACATATATATATAGCATGTATTTATATATATAATATCTATATATATATACATGTATACAAATGTTTGGACAACTTAAATTAACTTGTCGGGGAATGTTCCATTGCACTTTCTCAAACAATTGGCCAAAGCTTGCAACGCTCGCTGATAATGGCGCAAGAACAAAAGAGCACAAGGCGCAAAGAACAAAAGGCACTGAAAAACACCAGTTGCCCAAGGGCGGCGCGACCTTATACTAATTTGAATGCATTCCCGTCCCAAGTTGATATATAGGATATAATGGGTGGTGAAAAGGTATATGATGAATGGCGCCACAGCAAATTGGAAAGATTATATGACGGACTTAAAGATTATGAAAACATATATAACTGCAAAGATGCCATTTTATATGATAATGACTTTAGCCAAGACATGAAAATAGCCTATGAAGAATTGAAATTATCATTTTCAGATTTCATTAAGATTTTAGGCTACATTTTGAAGCATAATATTCTATATATGGTGAAGGTTTTGGTTTTTATTATTTAATATTAAATGATATTAAATATTTTTGTTGTAAAAAATTGCTTAAAGAAAAAGTTGTATTAATCTGGGTAAATGAAAATAATTCGTAGGTCACTGGGTCGATTTATTTTTTTCCACACAACTCTGTGTGGGGTTCTTGTTTTTGATTCTGTATCCCGGGTCGCTTCCCCGCCTCCCGCCTCCTTTGTCAACCACCATCTTTCACGCCCAACTTGGTCAACCACCATCTTTCACACCCAACTTTGTCACACACCATCTTTCACACACACCATCTTTCACACACCATCTTTCACACCCAACTTTGTCACACACCATCTTTTACACACACACAATCTTTCACACACCATCTTTCACACCCAACTTTGTCACACACCATCTTTCACATACAACTTTGTCACACACCATCTTTCACATACAACTTTGTCACCCAACTTTGTCACACACAATCTTTCACATACAACTTTGTCACACACCATCTTTCACATACAACTTTGTCACGCACCATCTTTCACGCACAACTTTGTTAACCACCATCTTTCCCATACAACTTCTTTCACACACAACTTTGTCACACACCATCTTTCACACCCAACTTTGTCACACACGATCTTTCACATACAACTTTGTCACACACCATCTTACAACTTTGTCACACACCATCTTTCACATACAACTTTGTCAACCACCATCTTTCACATACAAATTTGTCAACCACCATCTTTCACACCCAACTTTGTCACACACCATCTTTCACACACAACTTTGTCACACACCATCTTTCACACACAATCACTTCACCATCTTTCACACACAACTTGGTCACACACACAACTTTGTCACGTGGCACTTTGCGTGTGGCAGGCGTGGCGCAACCTCAAATCCACCTTCGTTTTGCGTGGCAGGCGTGGCGCAATCTCCACATCTACCTTCGTCATGCGTGGCAGGCGTGGCACTTAGCGCGCTTGGTCGCCGCTGGTCGCCTGTGACGCCGCGGCACTTTGTGTGGCAGGCGTGGCACTTGGTGACATCCGCCTTCGTTTTGCGTGGCAGGCAAGGCACAAGGATACATCCACCTTCGTTTCACCTTCGTTTTGCGTGGCAGGCGTGGCGCGGCGTCACCGGCGACCAACGGCGACCAAGCGCGCCATGCAGTGCCATAAGTGCCACGCCTGCCACGCATTACGAAGGTGGAGACAAGGTAGATGTCTCCTCGTGGCACTTCGCGTGGCAGGCGTGGCACTTGGAGACATCTACCTTCGTTTCACGTGGCAGGCGTGGCACAATCTCTCATCTACCTTCGTTTTGCGTGGCAGGCGGGGCACTTATGGCACTGCGTGGCGCGCTTGGTCGCCGCTGGTCGCCTGTGACGCCGCGGCACTTTGCGTGGCAGGCGTGGCACTTGGCGACATCCACCTTCGTTTTGCGTGCCAGGCGTGGCACAAGGATACATCCACCTTCGTTTCACCTTCGTTTTGCGTGGCAGGCGTGGCACAAGGAGACATCTACCTTGTCTCGACCTTGGTTTTGCGTGGCAGGCGTGGCACTTTTTGCACTGCGTGGCGCGCTTGGTCGCCGTTGGTCGCCTGTGACGCCGCGGCACTTTGCGTGGCAGGCGTGGCACTTGGTTTCACGTGGCATGCGTGGCACAATCTCCCATCTACCTTCGTAATGCGTGGCAGGCGTGGCACTTGGTGACATCCACCTTCGTTTTGCGTGGCAGGCGTGGCACTTACGGCACTGCGTGGCGCGCTTGGTCGCCGTTGGTCGCGCGGCACTTTGCGTGGCAGGCGTGGCAGGCGTGGCACTTATGGCACTGCGTGGCGCGCTTGGTCGCCGCTGGTCGCCTGTGACGCCGCGGCACTTTGCGTGGCAGGCGTGGCACTTGGTGACATCCACCTTCGTTTTGCGTGCCATGCAGGCGTGGCAGAAGGATACATCCACCTTCGTTTCACCTTCGTTTTGCGTGGCAGGCGTGGCACAAGGAGACATCTACCTTGTCTCCACCTTGGTTTTGCGTGGCAGGCGCGGCACTTATGGCACTGCGTGGCGCGCTTGGTCCCCGCTGGTCGCCTGTGACGCCGCGGCACTTTGCGTGGCAGGCGTGGCACTTGGTGACATCCACCTTCGTTTTGCGTGGCAGGCGTGGCACTTATGGCACTGCGTGGCGCGTTTGGTCGCCGTTGGTCGCCTGTGACGCCGCGGCACTTTGCGTGGCAGGCGTGGCACTTGGTTTCACGTGGCAGGCGTGGCACAATCTCACATCTACCTTCGTCATGCGTGGCAGGCGGGGCACTTATGGCACTGCGTGGCGCGCTTGGTCGCCGCTGGTCGCCTGTGACGCCGCGACACTTTGCGTGGCAGGCGTGGCGCTTGGTGACATCCACCTTCGTTTTGCATGGCAGGCGTGGCACAAGGATACATCCATCTTCGTACTTACGGCACTGCGTGGCGGACTTGGTCGCCGTTGGTCGCCGGTGACGCAGCGGCACTTTGCGTGGCAGGCGTGGCACTTGGTGACATCCACCTTTGCTTTGCGTGGCATGCGTGGCACTTATGGCACTGCGTGGCGCGCTTGGTGGCACAAGGAGACATCTACCTTTTCTCCACCTTGGTTTTGCGTGGCAGGCGTGGCACTTATGGCACTGCGTGGCACGTATGGCACTGCGTGGCACGCTTGGTCGCCGTTGGTCGCCTGTGACGCCGCGGCACTTTGCGTGGCAGGCGTGGCACTTGGTTTCACGTGGCAAGCGTGGCACACTCTCACATCTACCTTCGTGATGCGTGGCAGGCGTGGCACTTATGGCACTGCGTGGCACGCTTGGTCGCCGTTGGTCGCCTGTGACGCCGCGGCACTTTGCGTGGCAGGCGTGGCACTTGGTGACATCCACCTTCGTTTTGCGTGGCAAGCGTGTCACAAGGAGACATCCACCTTGTCTCCACCTCGGTTCTGCGTGGCAAGCGTGGCACAAGGAGACAT